AGTTGAAAATGGTTTATCAGTCAAAGCATTGTATTCTGAAGTTAGCCCAGGCTTTCAGTAATAATTAAGCCATGGTTCTTAGCAGCAAAAAATCTTAAACTTGGGTGCAGGTGGTAGCAAGCATTGTGCCTGGGATACTGGAGAGTATAGCAACAGATATTCAGCAATCGATGGGTGGTAAGCGCCCTGGTATTTCTACACCCAGCCGAACTCAACCAAAAAACAGCATCCATTTATTCCCGGTCATTCACCTTCTCCTTGAAAGCTCTGTTTTCAAACATACAGTGATTAATAGCCAGATTTTGCAACAGCTGCTGATGTTCCTTAAGCTCTTGGAGTCCAGCTCTTTCCAGGTATTCCATTACTTCATCTTCATTGCATGGTTGTCATGATATGAGAGAGAGAGAGAGAGAGAGAGAGAGAGATTCAGATATCATTCATGATGTTTTCTTGTTATCAAACAGGGAAGGGATGATTTCCAAATCACCCTATTAAGAATTTTTGAATCGGTCACACAAGAGCCTTCTGTTGTCCTCGAGGGTCCAGACATTTTTATCAGCCAAGTTCTCCCCACCCTCACGATCCTATACAAGACCAACACAGATGGAGAAGGCAGGTTCCTCTGCCTAAAACTTCTATTTGATATCACTGTAATCTTCCTAAATGAAACCCCCAACTCTTCCAAAGACCAGAGAGAGAAAGACCTCAAGTCCATCTCACGCACTCACTTTCTCTCGCTATACCCAGCATTGCTAAACGACGAAGATCCAATTCCCGTCTATGCTCAAAAGCTCCTGGTTATGCTCCTCAACTCCAATTACATCCAAGTCTCAGATATTCTTCACCTTAACCTCATCTCTCAGTGCTTCGAGTTTCTTCTAAATGACCTCTCGGGAGCCAATGTGAACAACGTTAACCTCTGTCTAGTTTTAGCATCGTCCCCCGAAATAGAAGTCAAGACTCTCTCTCAGCTCAAAGTCGTGAGGAGAATTGGTGATCTACTATCTTTCGTGGCTGCCAAATACATGGAAGATTTCCTCGAACCAACACTTTCTCTCTCTAAAACCCTCATCCAGCGTGCCATAGGGTCCTGGAATATCAAGGACATATCTGATTTTGGGTCCTATGTTGGAGTTTTCTTGGAGCTGAGCCTAAACCAAGTGGAGAGAATTGCAGATTTGGCTTCTGAGTGCATTTCACTATTAGCAAAGGTGGCACCAAGGGAGGCGGCAACTGGTGTATTGACAAATATTCCCAAAATTACCCCTGTTCTGGATTCATATAGGCTTCAATATGAGGGGTCAGAACAAGCCCGAATGGTTTTGATGCGCATTCTACATGCCCTTGGTGTCTCTTGTCGAGAATACCGGAGTCAGGCCATGATTCTCTCTTTATCTTTGCCTGATATTGCAAGGATTGAAGCCATTATATCTGAGCTTAAAAACTCAAGCTTTTCAGCCATTGTGGATGCTGCTTTAGAAGTGGCTGCGGAGTTACAGAGGCTTCCCCGCTGTGCTTGAGTTGAACCCCGAAATCTCTCTCTGAAAGGCTTTCTCTTATCTACTGTATCTTCAGTGGTAGTTCATCAAGTAATGGGGCCCTAAAGAGGTGAGCAGTTATTACTCTGTATTCTCTGCAAGCTGGTTATAGATAAGGTAAAACTTCCTTGCGGAAATATGTTGAGCTTGGTAATCCCTGTATGCTTATATATATGTAAAATAATTGTCTTTCTCAGTCGATGAGAAATTGAACTGTTCTCAAGATTTGTGTATGTCATTCAATGTGCAATTAATCTCTCTGTATTCCTTCCACTTTTCTATAAATTTTGGGTAATTGTGTTATGTAAGAAGCAAAAATGTTATTGGTACGATAGTATCTTTGTTCTTCCAATGAAACTTGGTGGTGTTATTTTTGTGTTTACGATGATCTGTTCAGGGAAACTGCACAATTGAAACCGGTTTTGGCAAGAAATTTGAGTCTTCTATTTTTCTTGAATGCCAAAAGAATTTATGCTCCCGCAGGAGCATACTGTCTATTTACTCCCTCTGATAAAATCTTATTTGACAGTTTTTTTATGACTACAATTTAATGTAACCTCTTCAAGTCAATTGACTAACTCCAATAATTTTCTTCTTTTTTTTTTCTCGAACTACATTTGCTATGGGCTTAAGAATAATAATGTCTCAAAGATTTAATAGAAGGCGTCCAATTTTTTAAGTGTTAGAGGCCTCATCCAAATTTTTTATTTAGAGAATAATCATTTGTGAATATTATGGAGTTCCCAAATTTGAGATAAAAAAAATCTTCCAAAGTAGGTCTTATTTCCCCAAGGAAATAAGTACAGTATGCTTCTGCAGGAGCATAGTATACATGCTATTTCCATAAATTCATCAAGCAAGAAGTTTTAGATGTTTTCCTTTTTGAAAGAAAACTTCCCTCTACTTTGGTTTTCTATTTCATTTTGTTTGTCAAGCCTTCATTCTTTCAACTATTTTACTGACCTAGTTTTTGTACTTTCAAGTAATTAACAGAGAGATGTAAATATTATCATTTTTATTACTGCCAACCTAGAGAGAGAAACCAACAAATTTTGTCAACACTCTCACTAGAAACATACCACGATGCCAAGCTGGCCAACTCCCCTTTTATATTCATATAGATATTTCTCCATTTTTAGGGCACCATTCCCCTCTTCCACCTTTCAACCATAAAAACGAAATACTAGAAAAAATAAAAAAATACCTAAAAACAAAACAAAACACCCTCGACTTGTTAATTATCCCATGAGATCTTGCGCATCTTACTACATCCATCCTATCCTTATTTTTGGTAAATGGCTTTCCCTTTTTAGAGGACATTGTTCCCCCATTTTCAATTTCAAATTATAAAAAGGCAACATAAAATAAAAGAAAGTATCTACTCATTCATGACGAACCCCATTACTTTTTTTCGAGGCCCTGATGTTTTAGCTCTCATCTTAGTCATGGTTATCTTAGCTTCCATGTCCAGCCTATCTCATTCTTTGGCATCTGTTTCATTGCCAAATGTGAAATCTCCTCTATCGTCTCCTTTGGTTTCGGCACCATCACCGTATTCCCATCTAAATTTGGCACCGGTATAGTTCCTCCACTACTTCCATCTCCAGCAGGAGATGGCAACTCGCCGCCAAATGCACTTCCAACTATCTATTCCCTCTTCTCCTAGTACACCAAACCCAGATGAGCAAAACTTTGGGAATTCTTTGACACCGCCTTCAATGTCATCTGATGCATCGCTGGATTTCGCAGTTTGTTCTGCTAAATTCAAATGCCTTTGGATTGGAATTGCAATTGTAATGCACTGGCTGATACATGCTCATCTCTCCCTCTGTGCTATCTCTCTCTCTTTCTCTCATATGTAAAAGCATGGTAGCGTAGCATAAATACATGATTGGTATATGACAACTGATGAGTTCTATTGATTTAATTGGCATTTAAAGTTTGATTAGTTGCTCTAAGCTTTAGCATTTTTATTCTCTTTTTCTTATTTTCTCTTTCCCACATGTTTTTTGGGCCATTCCACATAAAGTGAACCAGAAAAAAGCTAACTTATTTTCTATCGTTTATTGAGGAGAAAACAAAAGTTAAATATGTATCTACAAGTGGATATTTGACAAGGGATTGTCTACAAAGAGACAATTTATCATTTATACATAGAGATCGTAATCATTCTTGTCCATTGAGTTTCAAAATGGTTGGTTGTAAAAATATCATTGAATAGACACAAAGTTGTAAAAAAAAAATTTCGGACTTATGATTCACTCCAAGCCATCCATTTTGACATCCGAGTGGTAATGATTGTAACCTCTATATGCAAAAGATAAATAATCTCTTTGTAAACAATCCCGATTGGAAAATAGTTGTCACATCTAGATTTCAAATTGATGTGTTAGAACTTAGAATTATATTAATGTTTTATTTTTAAAATTTATTAATTCATACTCATTTCATACCTAAAATTTTTGAATCCAAATCTATCTCTAAAATAGATTTTGAACCGAGGAATCATTTAAATAGATGAGTTGGCCGACTAGTAGAAACCTTATCCTTTATTTAGAGAGGGAATGGAGAGAGAGATTAATTATGTTCGCACATTAGAGGAAAGTTTATACATTAAATTAGATAGAGTCTCAGTAAAATGATGTCTAGAAATAAAGAATAAATAACTATTAAAGTATATAGTGGTCAAAAGAAAACCCCATCACCACTTACCCCCAAATTTACCTTAAAGCAAACTTAGTTGTAAACTTGTGACTACCCTAGTAACCCATCACATATTACCAAACTAAAGTTTATCAACGAGCAACAAGATTACGGCGACACAGTGAAGAGCCATTAGATGATTTCCCAGCTCCCTTCCATCTCATGAATTCAAACAAACCCAACTTAGTCTGCCTTAAACACCTGACCAGACCCTGATTCTCTTCATTGAGTATGTCTATAGAGAGAGAAAGTTGCCTAATAACTTCTCTCTTCTCTTCATTCCTCTCCATCAGCTCTTCCTTCTGTTGCCTGTTCTCCTCCCTTAGCCTCATCACTTCTTCCCTCAACATCAACATTTCTTCAGTCTCCACGTTAGCCATTTCTTCTTCAGCATCATCTATCTCGGACTCTTCTGACTCAAAAGACTCAGAGGGCTCAGTGTTCTTGATGTTTGTTGCCGGGAAGTCAAGTTTCTTCAGTTGGGTTTTTGTAGATGGAGCCTCAGACTCTTCTGAATCAAAAGACTCAGAGGGCTCAGTGGTCTTGATGCTTGTTGCCGAAAAGTTGAGTTTCTTCGGTTGGGTTTTTGTAGATAGAGAAGAGTTTGACAGCGGTGAGGGCTTTGTTGGGAAAGAAAGCTGTGGGGGGGACCGATACTTCCTAGAGTGAGAAAGTTCTAGGGGCGGTGGAGTTTTAGAGCACCCGGTTTCACATTTGAGCTGGTCATGACGTTCGGCAAGAGATCGGTAAGCACGGTAGAAGTCCTCGACCATGGCTATGAGTTCAGGCCTCTTTTTGTAGTACATCTCTGCTCGCTGGGCAAATGAGTCGGCATCTTCCTCTATAAGCTTTAGCATCGCCTTAGTCTTCTCATCCAATTCTATGTTGAAGAAATTTATGATGATTCAAGCATATAAATAATAATAGTATTATGGGAGAGAGAGAGAGAGAGAGAGAGAGAGAGAGAGAGATGCAATGATCTACCTCTGAAGTCTGAACAGGGGAGAACCCATAGAGATGTAGAGAAAGGAAATTGATGGTGTTAATGTATATCTTTTGAAGAAGAAAGATTGAAACTAACCCTAAATTACCAGCCATCTGGATGACATTCTTATCAGGTGCAACTCCAATCACTAAAATTTGAAAGACAGGGCACCATTGTTTGGTTTTCAAATGATCCAATGTCTATTTTAATGAGTGAGAATATGATCGGGTGATGAGAATTCAAGAGAAATTTATCAAAATACCCACAGGAGATAAACTATTTAACAAGTTTACTCTTCTGGACCATGTGTTATTTCATGAATATTTTGAAACTAAATCAAAAGATATGGGTAAAGTATTAAATTATTAATCTTTAATCGATAATTTGATAAATTTCTCAAATTTCAATCCTACACTCTTATGTATTGTTTACATATTTCCTGGAAATAAATTTCTTGTTTGATGTTTACCAAACACGGTATATTCAAATTGATGAAACGAATTTTCCAAGTATTCATTTTCAAGATTGAAATCGTTTTCAGAAAAAAAGAAGAAGCCATCAGAGCAAAAAAAAGTATATAAAGCTTATTCTATTATAAAAAGTCAGAAGCGTAGAGAACTTTTTAGTGAATATGGTAATAATAATGAGGACTTTTTAGTGAATATGGTAGTGATGGGGATTTTTATACTGACCAGAGAGAGTGGAATGGAGCCATTGAGAGTGTTTTGGGCTATTGTGGCTATCCCACCACCATGAGTAAGATGGCTTCCTCTGAGGCATCATCACTTAAATCACCTGCAAATCTGCAATCATCAACGCATATATCAGACAGATCATGAACTTAACTACTCTCTCTCCAAAAAAAAAAAAAAAAAAGAGGGCTTCATATGAATGAAACAAGTAATGGGAATATCACTAGCATGGTTAACCAAAGAGAAAGCTCTCTCTCTCTCTCTCTCTCTCTCGGATTGATGGGCATTAGTTTATGAAATTGACCTAATTTTTCAATTTCTTGTTTTGATTGTTACTATGATTTCGAAGCTTAAACTAATTTATGGCACTATTAAATCAATTGGGTTTTTCAACTAGTTTTCAAAAATACCCTATGTATATCATCTAATCAACCACAAAATTTTTAAAATTAAATGATGAATATTCTTTAAAAAAGATTTAGAATAATAGATCTAAAATTTTATGAAAGACATGAGATGTAGTCCTAACATACCCCATTCTTCATATTTTAATTCTATTATTTTCATCTAATTTGTGACATGATAAATGTACGGAATAACTATTCTAAAAACTCAAAACCTATTATGCAGAACAGCTATTTATAGCAAAGGTTTTAATATTTTGAAATTATTTCATGTAATGTGTGCCATAATAAAAATATAGGATACTTAACTATTCTAAGAACTCAAAACCTGTTATGGAGATCAACTATTTATAGCAATTTTTTTAATATTTTGAACCGTTAATATTCTTTGTATCTAAATTATTAATGCCAATTTAAAAAAAGAGAATTGAAATTTCAAGATACATAGGTAAGGCCGGAGTCCTACTTTTCTTTACACTTAAGATATAGAAAATATAGAATTTGGTTGAATTTAGAGATAGAGATAAATTTATTGAATAAGCTGAGAGATAGAAATTGAGAATAGAATATGAAGAGAGCTATCATCAACGAAATCTATTTCCTATCTTTTGGGTTTGAATGTTATCTATTTCCTCTCTCTCTCTCTCTTCCACTTCCTCTCTCTCTCTCAATCTCTCTCTTCCACGTCCTCTCACTCTCTCTCAATCTCTCTCCTCCTCTTCCTCTCTTTCTCTCTCTAAACGACCCAAAACCCAATTTTTGTTTTCAGCAATCACCAAAAATAAACCACCCTTTTGCCCTAAACCTCTCTAAGCTTTAGGATCTGAAATTTTTAACAGAATATGCAGGGATCTATGTTCATGGAAGCTAAAATCAACAACAAAATAGAAAAGTAGAAGTGAAAAAGAACAAAAAGAGAAGTTCACAAAAGAACAAAAAGGAGCTTCGGCCCTTAGCTCTGAATAATGATTAATCATACCTTTCCAATAAACTTTCAAACTTTCAACACAAAAAAGAGGAACAAAAATAATAAAAAATTTCCAGTGAACTATAATCCCCAACATTACAATCAGCAGGTGAGATCATTGTACCACTAAAAACAGAGGTATAGCAAAAAAAATGAAGATTTTTTTCTCCTAGACCTAGAAAGATAGAGACTTTCAAGAGAGAAAACCAGGAAAAATAAAAACTTTTAGAGAGAGACCAGGAAAAATAAAAAAATTTAGAGAGGGAGATACCTGCTTTGGAATTAGAAGTCGAGACCAAAGCCCAAGCATAGAGAGAAAGACTGAACAAGTAGCCGTTTTATACGGGCTTCTTGAATTCACATAAGTATAGATTCGTGAAATTCGAATTTTCCGCCTTGATGCTGGCAATGAACCAATAACTAGTCGCCACGTTGTCAGAGGAGATGGGATGTATACGGACAAATAGGGAAAAATATTTGCAAATAATTTATTTTAAGAAGAATGAGGCCTAAATTAAGGGGAACCAAAAATCCAGTTTGGATTGGCGTTAAAACATAGTAAAAAAAAAAAAAAATTTCCTTTGTTGTGCTTGGCTAGGCACTTTGAATTGAAAACCCTTGGGTCCGGTGAACCAAAAATCCACTTTGAAATGGCGATAAAAAAACATAGTAAAAAGATAAAAATAGAAAAAAAAAAATACAAATTTGATCTAGCTAGTACAAATCATCATATGGATCCTTGATAGACACACCCAATTCCAAAACTGAATTGGGTGAGTCTAATAGCAACCGGACCGATCCAAGTTCTGACAATGAACTAGGTGCTTTCGATCTGGACTGTGATTCCCGATCTAGACCACTGGTTTTTAAATCTTTCCTTTCAATAATATATTACAAGTACTATGGGTGGTACATGAACTATTACTAGCCATCTCAATTGAGATTGACCGTCCGATTGTTGACAGAAATTGTTTAGACCGACGACTGAGATCAACTTTGGTACCACCCAAAGTATCATCATCTCCTCAAATAGATGCACAATTAATCCCAACCATCCATACTTTTTCGTTTAGGGGTAGTTTAGTGGGGAGGGGATCTCCTACCTATGGTATAAATAGAACTCTAGATGTTATATTGAAGTGCTTCACCACCTTAGGCACCTAGCGTTAAGCCTATTCCTAAAAATTTGTCCATACTTGAGCACGAAAACTTAAGGGTACAGTATAGACGACATGACACTCGTGCTATGCATGGGGTATGCTTAATATTGGACGTATTTGAAGCAAGGTTATCAGGATCGAACTGGCCATCGAGCAGCAAGGGATTGATCTTATCAAAATTGTTCCAACCACTGGTCGAACTGATTGGACTGGATTTAAGAAGAGAAGAAAGGAGAAGAAAGAAAAATAGATATCGTATGTTAAAACTATAGGAAAAATAATAGATATTCCACCCCCTAATATAATATGGGATTGTATACAATGAGACCATTTACCTTCAATACAAGGTCGACAAAATTACTTATAGCCATCCGATGTGAAATTTGATAGCTTGGATGTATCACAACATTCGAGAAAATTAGCTTGGTCAATGAAAATAATTGCAGACACCCAATTTCACATCCAATGATCAAGATTAATGTGAACACCTTGTACCAAAGAGAAATGGTCTGATTTTATACTTACCCATATAATATTTACTCTTTTTGTTTTTTACCAAGATTCCCTCATTTTAACCCATGTTTCCCATTTTTTCTCTCTAAGCTGGACCAGCAAAACTTAAATATGAAAGCCGGTCTGGCACAAAATGTGCAAGACCGACATAAATTCAATATAAGCCAGTTTGGCACAAAACGTGCAAGACTGACATAAATTCAATATAATCCGGTCTAGCGCATTTTGTAGTGCATCGACAAAATGCTCTATTTTTTGTCAAAAGTCGATCCAACACATTTTGTGCCACCAAACTGGCACATATTGGGTGTCACAATTTGGAAATGTGGGTTAAAACCAAGTACCTAGAAAGTGTAACACTAAGGGTATCTATAATTTTTCCAAAAATATAAAATAAATAAAAAAATTACCCAACACCATTTAGCTGGTCTAACTGGTTACATCGCTTAGTCTCACTAGTCAAATACTGATTGTGACTGGGTTTCAATTATATTTAATTTTTAGGTGAAATTGCATAACCCCAAATATAACTATTCATTCACCCCCCACCTAAGCTTCCCTAATTTTCTCAAAAACTATGTTTCCTAGCAAATACCCTCAATACAAAAAGTGAATTTTTTTTTGATGAAGATACCCTTCCTGTATTTTTAAAAGTCATTTTTAGGTCCAATAAAATGAAATTATCGGATCGAATTTGTAAAACACCTGAATGCCCTTCCAATAGAAAAAATCCTCGGACCGCAATAAACGAATGCCGGACTAGCCTCCCTTACCACCGGACTGCCCCTCAGAATGCCGGACGGGGCAGTTCCAGTGACATAAACGCCAGACTACACCTTAAACATACCAGACTGACCTCCCAAAATGTCAGACTAACCCTCAAAATGCCAAACTAGGGGGTATTTTCTTCGAGAGAGCGAGAGTAAAAATAGATTCGTGGGTAAGGGAGGGGTAGTATTATCTTAGATTTCTATTTTTTTTAGGTGGGTAAGGGAGGGGTAGTATTATCTTAGATTCCTATTTTTTTTAGGTGGGTAAGGGAGGGGTAGTATTATCTTAGATTTCTATTTTTTTTAGGTGGGTTTTAAAAGAAAGTAGTGAGGAAAGTTTAGGTGGAGGTAAGTTGAATGAATAGTTGATTTTGGAAGGATTTATGTAATTTTTCCTAATTTTTATCTAGGAATAGATCGGCCAAAGTTAATGGTCCCACTGGTCAAACCATTGATTTGGTCCTATCTTGATAACTATTATTAGAAGGGGAAATATGTCTCATTCAGGCAAAAGGCCCAAGGATAACACTGCACTATTTAACTTGCATGAGTTTCGTTTTATATCGGATAAACCCAGGGAGTAAAAATACAATACCACAAAAAATTGGAGCTTCTCTTGAGGATCTGACACTTTTGTTTTATTCCATTTAAATCCATAAAAAATTAGGTTACCTTCGGCATAATGCCTTTGGCCTATATTTATTGAAGACTGAAAATTCCAAAAAAAAAAATTCAAATTTCACGAAATTATTTCAAATAAAATACCAAGAATTATTAGAGCTTCAGCCTTGACGGCTTGGATTTTCAAATTTCAAAATTTAAAATACCAAGAATTATTGGAGCTTCAGCTTCCGCTCCAATGCCCGTTGCCTATTTATTTATTAATTGCAAAACGATCAATGAATCCCATTCATGCATCGCCGATAAGAGCCTCTAAACCTGAATTAGGGTAGAATATACACGTCAAAGAGTATTTAGTGGGTGCAATGATCCAAGGGCAATCCGGATCTGGAACCTAACTAGCCCCCATCCCATTGATCCCCCAATTTTTTTTTTTTACCAACTATTCATCGGTTTGGCTGATCTAAATTGCTGATTCGGATAAGTATAGTGAGTGGTTGATCAATAACCCAATATTATGAGACCATTGGCTATTATTACAAAGCGGTCGCAATTACTCTTTGCTAGTGATTTAAAAAATGCCAGGTCGGCATGGAAATGGAGTGTCCCGGTCCGACTAAGGAATCAGTCACCCCATTCTGGTTTTGTGTATGTATAGGAAATGGCCGAGTCCAGAAGGGAACCGGCGGTTTGCACAGTAAAACAGCAATTCAGACTGTCAGTGACCGATCCAGAATAGTTTTTGGCCAGTTCACCGTTTTATCACATATTTTTTCGCCGGTTCACTATTTTTTTTGCATAGTAGAATGGCGATTTGAACCGTCGATTCACCAATCCAGACCGGTTTTTTGGGTGCCCGATCTAGGTCACCGATCCGTTTTTTAAATCATTGCTCCTAGTCATTAGATGTCAAATTGGATCATTTGTAATATGCCATAAGGTTCGAGATTTTTTCTTTTTTTTGAAATTCGAGTATTATCAATGACACACTTACAACCACCCGATTTAAAAATCGACGGACAAGAGTAATTGTGACATTCTTGTACTAAAAGTAAATGATCACGATGAATACCTTTCCAATTTTAAAACACTCATTCAACCAAAGCACTCTACACGAAAATAACTGTAAATCAGAGATTAAGCTTCATGAGATTTGATTTTGGTTTATACTTGAGCTTGAATTTTGTACTTAGTTAACTCCTAAAAAAGCAAAGGAACGTCACTTAACTATTAGTTAAATTACAATGTTGCCACTGTATTAAGTTGTTTTTTTGTTATTTACTAATGTAGTATTTATGTTTAGCATTATTCTTGTGGTTTCATTTTATGCTCCCAATAAATTTATGATATGTTTTATGTTGTGACGATAGAGTAAGCATTGTTATTGGATTTATTTATTACTCTAGTGACACCACGTACGTCCCCAAAATTATTGTTCAATAGCATTAATGCATCTATACAATAATTATAAGGGCAATTTTCTTATATGCCCCTAATTTTTCATGGTAGACCCTCTTTCCATTTTTCTTTCAAGCAGCATAAGAAAATCTTTAAGGATTTAACTGTACCCCCTCATCTCTTATTGTCATCTTTTATTGACTTTTTTACCACAAAAATTAGCTCCAACAAATCTTTTTATACTATTTTAACTCAAAAAAAATTTAATGGGTGAAAAGAGAAAAAGATGGTTAAAAAGTTTTTGGGTTGAAATGGTATAAAAAGATTTGTTATAAGCTAATTTTTATAGTCAAAATTCAATAAAAGAGGGAGATAAGAGATGATAGGATATAGTGAAATCTTTAAAGATTTCTTAATGCCTGCTTGAAAGAAAAACAGAACGAAAATCTACCATGAAATAATATGAGGATATAGGGGTCTATATGAAATTTTCTCTAATTATAAATCATAATCTTATAATATGTCATATTTACATATCCGGTTTTTTAAACTTCATTTTTTTAGCCAAATCTGAAATATTCACTATTCTATAACTTCATTTTTGACGATCCATATTTTTTACCCAATTTTTTCTCCGACTTTTTAAAATAAAACGAATTTATTACTAATATCTTGATTCACCATCTCTGACTTGCTAACTTTGGTCTAAACCTTAATTTAGTTGCAATCCCATAAACATTGCAATCCCATAAACATCTCCTGGTCTAGGTGTAGACCCCATTATTTTATCTCCTAGTCTAGGTGTAGACCCCATCATTTTTTCTCCTAGTCTTGGTGTAGACCGCACTATTTTATCTCCTAGTCTAGATGTAGACCCCATTATTTTC